CAGTATAGAAAGTACGATACATTAGCGTGTCCGTAAGAAAGTAGCTGTGAGAAATCTATTATTATTGTTGTTTTGATTAATATATCTATATTAAGTATATATTTATTTATGCCATATATACATGTTTATAGTATTTACATTATGATCGTAACTACTGGTAGTAACAGCTATTTACAAGACGATACGTCTTGGTAGGTTCATTCTAATACTGGAAATAAATTTCTAAGAAAAAAATTATTCTCATACAAGTGTACCTCATTTACTGGCGCCACGTATTGTTTAAATTAATCATTCGTCAGATTTTGTTTGTATGGCAATGACGTACAAGTCAAGAGCAGAAAACAGAGCATGTTTAAGTTTGTGGCTCGGCTCCAGGAAGGTTTATAGTCTTGGAAATACTAGTAAGATCTAAGTACTGAGGTTACAACATATAAAAGACTGAATTAAATAGATAGCTAACATTATAGTGTAATGACACAACATACAAAACCACGTCCCTATCAGTTTCGCTAATTACCGTAATTCCCCATGTATAATACGTCTTCATCCATAATACGCACACTTTATAGGTAGTCTAATACACAACAAACAGACAATTGCCTGGAATGGGAACTAAATTTTAATTTTTGAATTTAGTATGTATTTTCTGTTACCGTATTTTCCACCTTGGAAGACGCACCCTCATAAGGGAAAGAAATTTATAAAAAGGCATTCTCATACAACAACAAATTCACCATGCGACCGTCACATACTGGCGCCACGTATTGTTTACATTGATCACTCGTCCGATTTTGTTTATATAGCAATGACATACTAGTCAAAAGCAGAAAGGTTCTCGTCGCTGCTAGAAAACAGAGCATGTTTAAGCTTGTGGCTCGGCCCCAGGAAGGTTTATAGTCTTGAAAATACTTATAACAACTATGTACTGAGGTTAGATCATATAAAAAGTTGAATTAGATAGCTAACATTATCCTTGGGATACGATTTATTCACTCTTTGGTCATTAGGCTGGGGCCAAAGGGTAGTTTCTGATCTCCATATTCCTGATGTTAATAATACTTATTGCCGTTTCCTTATAAGGAAACGTTCGCCATTCATTGAGTAAACATGCGTGTTAAACTTTTCTTCATCCCTAGCCATTAGGCAAGAAGCAAAGTGTAGTATCTCTTCTCGGGTGGACAAGCATCATTTTATCTGTCAGTTGTGACTCAGTTGGCGGACAGAACACAACTGAAAATATTACTGGGAGACGACCATTGCCGGGGAAAAGATGATCGCACCAGTACCTACCTATCTATCAATCTGTTGGTGGACAGAAACAAGATCGGGAGAATAAGGTGGATGAGGAATTTTCTCCCAATCAAGTTCTTCAATCTTTTGTGACGTGATTCTTGCTGTGTGGGGTCACGCATTGTCCTGATGAAACATCACCTCTTTTCGATTCACTAGAGCAGGTCTTTTTTTTCCTCAAAGCTTGGTTCAAACGCTCTAATTGCTGACAGTATATTTGAGCATTAATTGTTGCATTAGGTGGTAAGAATTCAAAGTGGATTATTCCTTGGCGATCCCACCAGATTGAAAGAAGAACCTTTTGCCCATGAAGTTTCCTTCTCGGCTGTGGCTGGGGTCCTTCCCCTTTACCAAGCCACTGTCTACGACGCTTAACATTTCGATAAAAGATTCATTTTTCGTCGCCAGTCACAAGTCTATCCAAAAAAGGTGAAACATTTGGCGAGAATGGAGTGAAGAGCAGATGTCAACTCGGGATTTGAGGTTGTTTTCAGACAATTCATCAGGCACCCATTTTCCAAGTTTAGGAACTTTTCCAATTTGTTGAAGATGACGATGAACAGTTGTATGGTTTGAACTGAGAACCACTGCCAATTCCTCAACTGATAAAGCAGGATTTTCTTCAAGGGATGCTTCAAGAAGCTTTTCATCAAACTCAACTGGACGTCCGGTTCGATCTTTATCTTCAAGGGTGAAATCTCCACCTCTGAATTTTGCAAACCATCTTCTGCAAGTTCTTTCATTCACACATTCCTCTCCATAAACTGAGTGAATGTTTCTGGCTGCTTCGGCTGCTGAGTTTCCTTTCTTGAACTCATAAAGCATTATGTGCCTCAAATGATTCTTGGGTACTTCCATTTTAGCAGGGTTTTAATCAAACAAAATTTAATTTTATTGTTCTCTGAAATAAAATTTGCTCAGTTTAAAATCATCTAAACATAAAAATAAATGTTTAGCTCCATTAGACATTATAAAATACTCTTTAAATTTTGTTCATTTTAACAAAGAATTAAAATTCGGACAGAACTTATGGGATGACCTGATATATATAACATTTTCTACAATTCTGTAATGGGGTTCCACATATACTATTTCGTTTCACTGTTCACTCGGGCTTTCTTTATTTCGCTCGCAGACAGCGATCAAAGTGTAGTAGCTGTTCTTCTCGCCTCTAATGCTAAAGGTAATATCCGCATCCTTATATGGAAACATTCGGCATACATTGACAATCAGACCGGGATCAAAAAAAGTATATATATATATATATATATATATATATGTGTGTGTGTGTGTAAACATGTGTGTGTGTGTGTGTGTGTGTGTGTGTGTGTGTGACATAAATTAAGTTTTTGAACATTGAGTCAACACTTAGAGGCGACAGGCTGTTTTGTCAGGACACCGATTGCGTCTAGCCTGTCGCCTCTGAGTGTTGACTTCAATGTTCACTTTTATATTTACACACGCTCTATCTCTGATATTGAGCACTTTATCCCATAAATATAGCACATCTTATGACTATATTTCTTCTTATATATATATATATGTGTGTGTGTGTATTGATGCATGTCTCATTAAATAATATAGACAAGTGTTGTCTATTTATTTTATGTAAATTATTTTCATATCGCTTATGATAAGCTTAATAACATTATCGTTGAAAGGCGAAAGAAAATCACCATTTTGATACGTTTTTTAATCCTATCTAAGCTTTTGGCTTACAGAAGCCATTATCAAAGATGACAATTACTTCACAATATATTAAACAGTACACGGACAAGACAATAATGATAGTCTATTTTTGTTTGCATGAAAGTTTTCCATTTATTATTCAATTATTTATATATCTATATTATTTAATGAAACATGCATCAATGAAAAAATGCTGCCTAAATACACACAATATATATATGTGTGTGTGTGCGTGTGTATTAATCACTTTCTTTCCAATTTTATTACCTGTTTTTTCTAGCAGTTTCCTTTATGTCAAATAGTTGCTATTTTTTTCTGGCCACTCTGTTAGTTTAATACTAGTGTCGGATTGTTTTCACGTATCACTTACAAAAATGCCAGATATTAACAGTCATACTGACGCCACATGTCCTTTCAAAATTTCCTTATTATATAAGTCCGTCATCTACCTTATCAACAAATTATTTTTGGCTATTTCAAAGATTGAAAAACGCTTTAAAGAAAATATTCATCAACATGGGACTATTTTATAGAATCCGGGAACGGATTTCTAAGAATGTTTCCCTGAATAGCAGTATTTTTTTTTTTACAGATATTAACAGGTAAGTAAATATAATGAACTCAACTGGAACTCGATCGCGGCTCCAAAATCCAAGGTCCTAGCCATTACTCTACTCTCCCCCACTCACACATACTAAGCAAGGTGCGTTGTATAAATTGTCTAAATGACGCAAAAAGAGTAAAGAGTTAATTTATTCAATAAAATCGCCATTGGCTTCAACCACGGCCTCCAGACGACTTCGGAATCTCCTGCAATTCTTATGGAGTGTTTTCTTGTTTAAGTTGTTGAATGTTGCCATAATCTTTGACTTCAGTTCATCTTTGGTGTTACAATGAGATTTGTTGGTCTCTCGATCAACTACACCCTACACATAATAATGAAGTGGGTGGCAGTCAGGGGAGCTAGGTGGCCAGATATAAGAGGTGATGTGGTCGCAGAATTTGTTTGACAGCCATGACTGTGCTCTCCTGTTTGTGTGGCAAGTGACATGAACAGGAACATAGTAAAGCCGTAACATGAGCAGGGACACCCTGAAGCCGTAAAACGCGCAGGGACGCCGTAAAGCCGTGACACGAACTGGAACACCGTAAAGCTGTAACACGAGGGAAAACAGAAAAATCAGGCATAGCTGACCCTATATTAACGGAAAATGATCACAGCCATTTATGGGAGATGTTTGAAATAATATACAGAATATATCACTGGAAAATATGAAAACTTAAAGAATCAGCATATATACTAGGCCACAAAATCTCCTAAGCTGGTCAAGCATAGAAATTAATACAATAGGAGAAATGTGTAATGCAGAGTGCTAGAGAAAAACAACAATAACAAACAAATTGTAATATGAGCTCTGGTAAAAAAAAATGAATACGGTGATATTAGGCTTATGGCCTAGTGGATAAATCTTGGAGAGTTGAATTGCGAAAGGGAAATAACTGAAACTGAGATATCCTGAAAAGGCACGGAACGTGGAACTAGAACAGTTTACCCCCGTGGACTAAATAAAGGGTTCATTTCCAAATTCCAACGTAGAAAGCCGGATCGTACAACGGCCGAAACGTCGTGAAAAACACGAGGGCAACAGTTTCTTTTTTCCCTCATAATCTCCCAATTGTATTCATTTATAGAGCCACATCTCACCCTCTTCAAGTCTATTCTTCATGTGAAAAGAGATTGTCCGGCATTCATGATCATATAAAGAAATAAGATATCATAAAATACTTCAGTATTTTTCTCTTTGTTTCCAACAAAGCCATTGTCCGTGGAATTAGAATATAAATATATATATATATATATAAATAAATAAAGGGTTCGGTTCGAAATTCCAACAAAATTCACCTGAAGAAGGCAGGAGCGTACCACGGCCGAAACGTCGTAAATAAAGATGAGGACAACAGTCCGAAAGATGTAAAGAAATTTAAATACACTTTTAATATTTTTCAAAGATGGTAACAGAATGTACGGCAACAATCTAATGGCACTCCCATTTTTGTTTCTTTTTATTGTCTTCTTGAAGGGAGCACATTCTGCTGTCTATCAATTTCACTCGAGCGAAAAGAAGGAGACATTATGTCGTTCGTTTGATTTATAGGTAACGTCTGCTTTCAGAAATGGCACCATAACCGGGGTGGAGTGGTTTAGATGCTTGCCGATTGAGTAACTGAGAAGACCAGAACGAATCATCTATCTATCTATCTATCTATCTATCTATCTATATATATATATATATATCTATCTATCTATCTCATTCTGTTCCCATCTATCTATATCTATATCTATCTATATATATATATATATATATATATATATATATATGTTTTTGCCTATCTCATTCTGTACCCATCTGTCTGTCTATCTATCTATGATTGTTTATATCTATGTATCTATCTAAGCTTTTTTATATCTATCTATCTATTTATCTATCTTTCTAAGCTTGTTCATATCTCTCTCTCTCTTTATCTATCTATTTATCTAAGTTGGTTTTTCTATCTATCTATCTATCTATCTATCTATCTATCTATCTATCTATCTATCTATCTATCTTACCTCATTCTGTTCCCATCTATCTATCTATCTATCTATCTATCTATCTATCTATCTATCTATCTATCTGTTTTTGCCTATCTCATTCTGTACGCATCTGTCTGTCTATCTATCTATGATTGTTTATATCAATGTTTCTATGTATCTATCAAAGCTTTTTTTTATATCTATTTATCTATCTATCTAAGCTTGTTCATATATCTCTCTCTCTCTTTATCTATCTATTTATCTAAGTTTGTTTTTCTATCTATCTATCTATCTATCTATCTATCTATCTATCTATCTATCTATATCTTTCTGCCTATCTCATTCTGTACCCATCTGTCTATTTATCTATGCTTCTATCTATCTATCTATCTATCTATCTATCTATCTATCTAAGCTTTTTTATATCTATCTATTTATCTATCTCTCTAGACTTGTTCATATATATATATATATATATATATATATCTTTATCTAAGTTTGTTTTTCGTCTATCCATCTATCTATCTATCTGTTTCTGCCTATCTCATTCTGTACCCATCTATCTATCTATCTATCTATCTATCTATGAATGTGATTAATTTTGGTAGGCCAACCTATCTACTCCGATTGAGAAAGAAAATAACAATTAAGAAATAAAATGTCAGTGTATAGGCGGAGAAGTTCGAAGTTTAGAAATGAAGCGATCAGTAAATAAGAAATTAAATTCTTGGATACGAGATGAAGCTGACAACGATATATATATATATATATATATATATATATATATATATATATATATATATATATATATATATGACGTAACAATTAAGAAATGGACAAAGTCCGACAATCATTTTAAGACATTTTATGTTTATACATTCTTTTTATAGATACAAATATTTAAGTAAATGCTCTGTTTATAATAAATTTGTTTACATTTGATACGCCAGGAGCAGATATGAATGTACGTGAGAGATTCATAGAAGATTGAAGTTCAAATACAGCAAAATTCGACCTTGCTAATCGAAGGCGCCTCTGTGGCCAAATCGGTAAAGGCTCATTAAGCTAATTGACGGTTCTGCATAGGATACAGGCTCGAATCCTGTCGGAGGACTGTCTGGCAAAATTTCTCGGATATACAGGCCGGTAAATGTTGTTTAATACTGTTTATTATAAACAGAGCATTTGCTTAAATATTTGCATCTATAAAAAGAATGTATAAACATAAAAAATGTCTTTTATATATATATATATATATATATATATATATATATATATATATATTCTATTCAGCGTATGAATAGATATATTGGAATATTTCTGATATCGGAATCAGTATAAATATAAGAAGACACAATATGCCTATATAATTCAATGAAGTATATATATATTGATATATATATTGAATATATGTATATACATACATACATAAATTGATATATATATATATATATATATATATATGTATATATATTGCAGCATATTTCATTGAATTATACAGGCATATTCTTTGTAATTATTCATACTGTTCTTCATATGAAAACATCAATTTGAAATAATGTATGGTTGCGAATAAAAGGAACAACACGATATGAGTGAATTACAAATTGGCAATGCCAAAATGAAGCAGGAACAAACATTTAAGTACCTGGGAAATATTTTAACAGCAGACATAAAGTGCCACACTGAAATCCGAAGGCGCATTGGCATATCGAAAGGTGCCTTCAAAAGCTAAGCTCCGTATTAAGAAACTGGAAACCTTCTTTATAAACAAAGAAACATTGAGAAACCTAAATAAAAAGATTATATAAACAAAACAATACATCAAATGTAACATTAACGAGCCTGACCAATATATATATATATATATATATATATATATAAATATGTGTGTGTGTGTGTGTCTGTGTGTGTGTGTGTGTGTGTGTGTGTGTGTAGCGCAGTGTTTGTCCGTAATGATTATTGTTCCAAATTATTAGCCATATTCAAGGTCTTTTTTGTGTCCGAATTGTATATATTTTTATATCTATCTATCTATCTCTCTCTCTCTCTCTATATATATATATATATATATATATATATATATATATATATAATATCATATCTTATATATATATATATAGAAGTTAATAATTTAAATGAACGAGAATACATCTTCATGAACAAATTTTATAAAGTACATTAAGTTCGGGGGTTAATGTACTTTATTAAATTTATTTTGCGAAGAATATTTCGCCATTCAAATTATTAACTTCTATATGTGTTTTTTGTATGAATGAATCATGTTATGTAAATTGAACTGCACCACATACCTGATAATATATATATATATATATATATATATATATATATATATATATATATATATATATACAAAAGGTGTAACAACTAAATTGTCCAAATCGTGTAATAGCAAAATTGTCCAATTCTTAGATTAAATTTGATCCGTTATATTTTTAAAATGATTGATTATATCTTCGGAGTTTTTATAAAACTATTGGACTCTACTTTGAACCATAAGAATATGTTTAACTCTAAGTTAAAATGATGATCCCTCTTGCTGCTGTGACCTCCTTTTCCAGTTTTTCTCTCTACTGTTCCCTCTTTTTTAAATTTATTCACCGTTCTCTTGATGGTTCTTGAATTGACTTTGAAGATGGAAGCCCCGGTATGAATGTTGATACTGTGGTGAACACGAAATAAAAATAACTTTTCTCTTCTGTTTTCAAATTCGCGAGCATATGTGAACATTTATTTTGTGACCACTAGAAACAGGGATTTGCTTCGGGCTAAGAAATCACCAAAGCAAATTTTAACGAGCCTATGTGAAAATTTTGACCAATGGAACAGAGAGCGGTTTACAAAATGCGAAAAAATTCACGAGCCGATGTGAAATCGCTTTTTGATATAAATAGAGAGAGAGAGAGAGAGCGAGCAGAAAGATGCAGGAGGCAGAAAGCCAGAGTTCCACGCGTCTGAAAACACTATGATACATTATCTGAAAGCAGGGCAATTTCAAAGGACTATATTCAAGTACAAGCTAAGTACTTTAAAAAATATCTTTTAATTCATGTTGAATACAACCTTATAACTTTTAAGCAAAAAACGAACTCTCTCAATTTGTTTTAATTTTGTTTAAACGTTTTGGAACGTGTCTTTGTGTCCGCTGATTTAATCTGAACATTTTCTCTTCTTGACAATTCATCGAAACTACGAACTTTAAATATTTGATTCCTTTTCCTGAAACAAGCTCCTGACAACTTCAAATGTATAAGTTTGTGAATAAATTCCTTATCTTGTTTCGTTAAATATAACGTGTTTTCTCGTCATTATACCTTAATACTTCACTACCATTACTGAAGGCCTGAATGATCTTTTTCCTCCCACCATTGCTCAGTTGAGAAACCGTAGTAGGACTGACACAAAATGATTTTAACCTGTTCTCTTTCTAGCTGAATAACACAAAAAGGTTTTTCAGTGATTCTTACGACAAATGGTGTCAAGATGGCTAAATATCTCATCTGAAAACCTGAAACAAAAAACTTAATTAGCTTTTGTTGTTTTTTTTTTGTTTTGTTTTTTAGATATTAAACAATTTGTGGAATAGAAAAATTATCCCATGCTGTTGCACAATTTTCGATAATCTTGTTATTATATCCGGGATATTATAGGATTAATACAGATATAAAATTTGTCACTTACTTGATTGATGTTATATTCAGTATCTTGACTCCAGAATTTTTTCGACGGACTTTGTGTAATTTTTGGGCCTTACCTGCTGGCCAACTCAATTGTAAATTGATGGGACCTTATCGCCAATCTAGTACTGCGCTGAAAGTTATACAGTCTAGTTACTATGGTGGAAAGTATTATTTATTTTGTGTAAACATAGTGGGACTGACACAAAATTATTTTAACCTGTTCTCTTTATAGATGAATAACTAAAAGGGTTTTTCAGTGATTCTTACGACAAATCGTGTCAGGATGGCTAAACGTGTTATCTGAGAACTCAATTATTTTAGGTTATTTTTTATTATTATTATATTTTATTTTATTACATTTTTTATTTTATTATATTTTTTAATTTATTATCGGTCTTGAATAGATTTTAAAGATTGTAGCCAGAGTATGAATGTTGGTACCATTACTGAAGTCCAGAATGATCTTTTTCCTCTCACCATTGCTCAGTTGGGAAGACATAGTGGGACTGACACAAAATGATTTTAACCTGTTCTCTTCCTAGCTGAATAACTCAAATTGTGTTTCAATGATTCCTACGACAAATGGTGTCAAGATGGCGAAATGTCTTATCTGAAAACCCGGAAAAAAAGAAACTTAGTTTATGGTTTTTTTTTTTTTTAGATATTAAACAATTTGTGGAATGGAAAATTATCCGATGTTGTTACACGATTTTAAACAAGTTTGTTATTACACCCGATATATATA